GTTAACTGTGGGCTAGTCTAATGTTTAAGGCTCTAATTTCAGAACTTCAGGAAAATGACAGCCTCAACTCCATTTCCCTCCGAAGATGCTGCCGATGCTTTTTCCCCTGAAGGTGATTCCCGAGGGCCCTGCAGCAGCCAGTGACTTCAGGGTGCTGTGCACAGGGTTAATTTACTTCTCCCATGCCCCATCTTTGGGACGGGGCCCTGATTTCTATCCTTTGACTGCCAACTCAAGGAGCTCTGGTGGTACAGTGGTTAAGTGCTCAGCTACTAAGTTAAAGGTCAAGGTCAGTGGTTTGATTTCCAAAACCACTCCGGCCATCTGCTCCCAAAAAGAAGCCCTGGGGGACAGTTCTACTCAGAATCGACTTGACAACAATGGGCTCAGTGTTTTTCTCTTCCTCCCTCCCACTCTCCCTCCCTCTTTCTCTCTCTTTCTTTCTTTCTTTTCCCCCCCTGTATGTTAGGTTTGAAACCACCAGCCACTCTGAGGGAGAATTATGAGGCTTTCTACTCCCATAAAGAGTTACAGGCTCAGAAACCCACAGGGACAGTTGTACCCCATCTCCTAGGGTCGTCATTCATTGGAATTGACCAGACGGCACAGTTTCACTCTCTTTCTCTACCTATTCATGGGGATAGGTGGAAGATGCTGGGGACAAAAATGCCTTCTCTTTATTCCATATTGCTTGCCTGCCCCGGCACATATGTATCTGAAGATGAGTCTCAGACCCCACCTTGTGCTCACCCTCTAGCTCACCTGGTAGTGAAGCTTGCATCCCATCAGCAACACGAAGAGCCATGTCAGCGAAGGTGGACCCAAGCGCCTTTCATTGTCTGAAGCTTCTTCTCGGGGAATCTCCCACAGTTCCCTTTGGGGACTCCCACCTGGCTGGGAGGACCTTCTTCTGTTGGCTAGGGGACATCTGTGCTTTTCCTCTGAGGGACGTTAAGTTGATTTCATGGATTTTTCAGTGCAGAGATGGTTTCAAACTGTACCTTGTTTTCTCCGTCAATCTGTGGGGAATCATGTGCCCCGATTTGAGACCCAAGAATGATGGCTATCGGCGTGCTCAGAACCTCTGCAGTGTTAATCCGTCACAGCCCTTCAAAGGCGAACCCACATCCAGAACAGGCAGAGAACAGTCTTAGTTCATCCACTCCCCATGCTTTCACTCGTACCCTTGGGGAAATTTTCCTGAGTAACATTCTCACACTT